GACTGGTTGCCCGCGCCCCCTGGGCAGCTGTCCTTGCATGTGTGTTGGGTGCTCCGTGCTGTGTGCAGGGTGGGAGTCCTCCCAGGTGTTGCGGGAGAGTCCTCTGCGAGATGAGCCTGAGTTGCCTCGCTGCCGTGTTGGAGAGCGCGGGGCTCTTGCTGTAGCCCTGATCAGTTCCTCCTCCCTTCTCCTGTCCACAGCACCACACAGGACCCCAGACAGACGGCGGTGAACAAGACTGGGTCTATGGAAATGCAAGCACCCTACACGCCAGTCACTTAAAGTGCACATCAATTTTAAAACATTTCCTCCTCCCCCCACCTCCCCCACAAGACAAACTGCATAGCATTCAGCCAGGACTGCTGGTTGCCCCTTCCGCCTGGGCCTCTTCCTTACTCTGCATCGCTGGCCCGTGGTTTGGGCCCCTTCCAAGGCCTCTGCCCTTACAGTCACCGGAGCGAGGCGAGAGGCAAGCAGGAAGCCGCTCCTGAGGACAAAGGGCGGCCTTGTGTGGAAAGGGCAGGGGAGAAGGGCAGACAGGTCAGGGTCTCCCTGGGCTCTGTATGTACCTGCCAAGGTTACAGCCTCTGGGAGCCAGCAACACATGGGACCGGATGCGAGGCAGGGCCCGTGTTTGAAATGCAGCCTCTCCTCCCCCAAACACCATCTCTCTCCTCTGAAACAGCTTTATGGTGACATAATTCACGTTTCGGTGGCTTTTAGTAGCTTTACAGAATTGGGTGTGACTCACCATCATCTGAGAGCCTTTATCACCTTGCCTGAAAGAAAGCCCCTCTCTGGTCAGCATTCGCTCCCTTTTTACCCTAAGCCCTTGCTCTGGGCTGTTGAGTTAATTCCGACTGTCAGCAACTAGCCCCACAGGCCTTTCTGCTAGGTCTTTTTTCCCAAAGAGACTCGAGGGTTTGAACCACCGACCTTATGGCAAACAGCTCATCGCTTTAGCCATTGTGCTACCAGGGCTCCTTCCCGAAGCTTTAAAATTCAAAACAAAACTCCTTGCCACTGCATCCGTTTTGCCCCTGTGGGTTTCCAAGACTGTAACGCTCCACAGAAGGTTAACACCCCTTTCTCCTGCAGAGCACTGGTGCTCTTGAACTGCTGGCCTTGAACTTAGTAGCCCAGTGCAGAACCCTGGGCCTTGGGCAACTGCTAATCCCTCTGTCTCTCTAGATTTGCCCAGTACGTTAGACATTTCTCACATACGGAGTCAGACAGGTTTTGTCTCGTTCATGAAATTTCCAAAGGAAGTCTCACATATCTTTCATTTCCTTCGAGGGGCAAAGAAGGCCCCGTTGTGTGGGCAGACCCCATTCTCTGGATCGATTCGCCCGTGGATGGGCCTTTGGGTGGTTTCCGTGTTTTGTCTGCTATGAATAGCGCTTCTGGGCGTATTTGAGTCCAGGTCTGTGTGTGGGCCTTTGCCCACGTTCCTCCCGTACACACACGGGGTGGGATTGCTGGGGCCTTCCGTCCTTCACCTCTGGGGGCAGCAACCAGAGTATTGTCCACAGCTGCATGTCGGCCCTCCGGCCAGAGCAGGTGACACGTGGTGGGCACAGGTGGTCTCTGCCCCGGTTTGGGGATGTGTGCTTTCTCATGGTGCTAATGGCTGTCCAGTGTGTTGCAGGCTTTTCAAAGACATCCGTGAGCTTCCTCAGCCCCAGGCTGAGCGTGAGAGGTGGGCAGAGCATGGCAGCGCGTTCCCAACCTTTCTCCAACCTGGAGCTGCCCTCGGTCCTGCTGGGGCCACGCAGCTGGAGACGTGGTGCCACAACCCGCTGATGTCTGCCTTCTCTCCTCGCCCCGCTGCTGCCCCTTCCAGCAAGGAGAACTTCAACAGCGTCCCTGACCTGGAGCTCAACCCCATCCGAGCCAAAATCGTCCGTGCCTTCTTTGACAACAGGTGGGTGCCTTTCCCCAAGTCCAGCCGGAGGCGGGTGACGTCATGCTCATTTTGAGTTTGTCACTTCTCGGACGAGTTCCAGGCCCACTGTGGTGCAAGGGCTAAGCTACTGGCCCACGCTGGTGGTCAGAACCCACCAGCCACTGCGCGGGCGAGGGGAGGGGAAGGGGGATACGTGGCCCTCTGCGTCCTCCAAGGGGGCGATGTTGGCACTGGAGCAACCGGCAGTTCCACTCTGACCACCCACAGCGTCGCCAGGAGTTGAAGTCCACGTGGTGGCCAGTAGGGTTTGAGCTTCGCGCGTGGGGCGTGTCCTCTGCGTATCTCTTTAGTTGGGGTGCGGGGTGGGAGTGAGGCCGAAGGCAGGAGCCCAGGATCAGAAAGCCCAGTGGCTTTGGGCAGCCCGCTCGATCTCTCTGAGTCTCTGTGTCGTTAGCTATGGCTGTGTAGCAAGGTCACCCCAAAACTTAGCAGCTTAAAACAGCACCCGTTTACTGCTCCGCAGCTCCGGCAGAGCAGGCATCTGGCTGTAAATTCTCGGGGCATCTGGGGGGTCAGCATTGCCACCAGGGGAAGCCTTCACATGAGCCCACAGTCCTGGCCACCACAAATGTTTTTAACAGGCCAAGGAAGGGGTTTTTGTCATGGAATGTTTTGGAGTTTTTAAGCGACCGATGATGTGGACCGTCTTTTCGTGTGTGCGTGCCAGCCGCGTGTGTATCCTGCTTGGTGAGAGGGTCTCGCATTTGCCCCCTTTCCGCATGGGCCCACTCCTGGAGGAGGGGATGGACAGGTCCCGGGCCAGGCATCACTTGGGGTCATCTTGGAGGCTGCCTGCCACACCTGTTTGCTCACCTGACCACGGAGATAGTAGCACCTGACAGTAGCAAGTTGAGGACATGTTGAGGTGACATCATCACCCTTGTTTACAGGTGGGGAAACTACGGCATAGTACATGCTCGCATCTCAGCCGGCATCCGCGAGTCGGAGCTCAGCAGAGTGTGCAGGTCCCCAAGTGTCCAGCAACGCTGAACTTCACACAGCCCGCTAGGTAGCAGGGAGGGCAGGGGCAGGTGCCTGAGGCTCCAGTCAGTTGGACTCACCGGGGGATGTTCAGCCTCTTGGCCTGCAGAAATCTCTGAGAGACGGTGGGGGATGTGGAGAAAGAGGAAGGCAGGAGAGGGGCGAGGTGTGGGGCTGAGATGAGTGGCTTCCTGGTGGCAGTTTTGCATCGTGCAAGCATGTACCGTTCACCTCTGGTCCTGCCAGCACCACGGGACCTGGCGACTCATCCTGGGACGGTGGCCGCTGCTCACAGCTTGGGGCCCTGAGCTGCTGTTCACCCCCCAGAGATGCAGAGGCCTTCCTCAGGGCTGGGAGGGGGGGGCACCCCATAGAGAGTGGATGAGCATTAATTAACCAGGCCGGGGGAGGGGGGCATTAGGGATGCCCCAGCGAGTGGAGCTGCACATGCAAAGGTCCTGTGGCACCAGAGCATGACCAACAGGATGCTCAGGGTGGGGGCAGGGGGCTGCTCCTCTAGGCAGGAGGGACTTGCTGAAAACCTAGGTCCTGGCAGGCTCTTGAGGGGACCGAGGAGAGAGCTGAGGCCCTGCCTGCTGACCGGTAAGGTTGAAGGATCCAGCCCGCCCAGAGGTGCCTGGATAGAAAGGCCTGGCAACCACTTTGTGAAAATTCCAGCCGTAGAAAACACTGCGGAGAGCAGTTCTGCTCCGACACACGTGGGCTGCTGCCTGCCGTGGTCCTGGCTGCCGTGGCAGCATGGGGTTCAGGGAGAGTAGGTGGTGGGGGCAGAGGCCAGCGAGGGGATGCGTGGGCCCCAGGTCTGGGCTAGTGTGTGTGGGGGGATGACAAGCAGCAGGTGGCTTCTGGGAGACCCTGGAAGGTCACAGGGCTGCAATAGCCGGACGCCCTAGTCAGGGGCAGAGGTGGGCTGGGCCTCACCGTCCCCTCCTAAGCCCTTGGCCCTGGTGGTCAAGTGTTGCCCTGGCTGGGAGGGATGGTGGGGAGCTTTCTAAGGAAGGTTTAAGGGGAGACTGGACTTCTGGGATCCCTGGAAAGTTCTGGTCTCTAGTTCACAGCTGTGACCCACCTTCCCTATTCCAGATGGGATATACACCTCTCTGGGTGACCCCTGGAAGAGGAGGAAACTGGGCAGCACAGGGGACCCCCGAGGGGCAGTGTGGGCTCCTGCTGGGTGGCACGTGTGGGCACTCGGCAAGAGAAGGGCAACATTCCCCTGTACACTGAGGTCCAGGGGTGACCTCAGACAGGGTTGTCAGGTGTTTCAACCCATAGCAACCCTGTGTGCCACAGAGTGCCACGCGGCCTGGTCCTGGCCACCATCTGATGTTGGGTGTGAGCCATTGTTGCGGCCACGGCGCCTGTCCACCTCGTGGAAGGCCATCATCTTTGGCTGACCCTCTAGTTGCCAAGTAGGATGTCTTTCCCCAGAGAGGGTCAGGATGCCCTTCTCCGGGGGCTGGCCCCTCCCGAGAGCGTCTCCAGAGCAGGAGAGACGAGTCTCGCCCTCCTCACCCTTGGCCTCCTGTCCACGCCTCTTCCAGGACGGAGTGGTCGGTGCGGACCAGCCGTGGCTCTCCGTGTTCTCCACCAGCCCCTTCGTTCAAACGCATCAGCCCTCTGGTTTTCCCTACTTCCCCGCCCGGCACCCACACGCATGTGCAGAGACTGAGAACACCGTTGCCCAGGCAGGACACCCCTGGGTCCTTGGGAACCCTTCACGCAGGTCTGGCTGGTGCAGTAGGTTTGAGATGCCCTGGGACTCCCTGACCTCAGGGCCCGTAAATCCTGTGCACTCCAGCCTTCACCGGCCTGGGCCCTTGTCAGGGACCCACGAGGCAGGGAGGACTTCATGGCGGGGTCTGCAGAAGCTTGTGTGTGTGCACGTGCTGTGGGGATGTGTGTGTCTGTGGGGATGTGTGTTGGTGTGTGTGTCTGTGTATGTTGTGTGTCTGTGGGGATGCGTGTTGTGTGTCTGTGGGGATGCGTATTGGTGTGTCTGTGTATGTGTGTTGTGTGTGTCTGGGGATGTGTTTGGGTGTGTGTGGGGATGTGTGCGTAGGTGTGTGTGTGGGGGTGTGTTTGTTGATGTGTCTGTAGGGACATGTGTGTTGGTGTGTGTGTCTGTGAGATGTGTGTGTTGGTGCATGTGTGTCAGGGGACGTGTTGGTGTGTGTGTGTGTCTGTGGGGATGTGTGTGTTGGTGTGTGTGGATGTGTTGTGTGACTGGGGATGTGTTGGTGTGTGTGTGTCTGTAGGGATGTGTGTGTGAGGGGATGTGTGTGTGTGGATTGTTGTGTGACGGGGGATGTGTGTGTTGGTGAGTGTGTGTGTCTGTGGGGATGTGTTGTGTGACTGGAGATGTGTGTGTCTGTAGGGACGTGTGTGTATGGATGTGTGTGTGTGTCTGGGGATGTGTGTTAGGGTATGGACATCTCCACACCATCCCTTCTGGGTGGGGACGTGCCATGGCTCCTGGTCAGCCCTGTCCCCTTAGCCCCACTAGGAGTCTGCCACCTTGCTGGCCCAGGCTGACTGGGGTCATCTCCCTGAGTCCCGCTGGGACACATGCTCTCCATCCTTCACCGGCCAAGCTGGCCTTGTTGGCTGCCCTCCGCTGCGGGGGCTTGCCCCTGGCGCAGGGCCCGTGGTGCCCCTTACTCGGCTGTGATCCACGGGCTTGTTTTCAGAAGTCAGCCTCCGGGCCTTTCTGCCTAGTCCGTGTGAGTCTGGCAGCTCTGCTGAGACCAGCTCAGTGTTGTGGCAACGTGGAAGCCTGCACACCCGTGCATGGGCTGGGAATCGAACCCAGGCCCTGCTGGGAGGTGAGCATTCTGCCCGTGCTCACCCTTGGGAGCCCTGGAAGTCCCCTGGAGGTGCTTGGGTGCCCTGCAGGTGCTCATGATGCTGAGATGTGACCCAGGATGGAGAGCTGGGTCAGCACACGTTTTTCAGACCGGAGGTCAAGCATTTGCAGTAAACTTGCTCTGGCAGACAGTTCATTAAACTTTATTTATGGATGTGGAAGATCAGGCGTTGAGTTCCCAGGAAGGAGCCTTGGTGGTGTAGTGGGCTACACGTTGGGCTGGCAGCTCTGAGGTCAGCAGTTTGAAACCACCAGGTGGTTCTCAGTGCTGGAGAAAGAGGAGGCTGTCTACTCCGTAAAGAGTGACTCTCAGAAACTCACAGGGGCAGTTCTATCCTGTCTCGTAGGGTTGTTCTGGATCAGAACCGACTCAATGACAAGGAGATGTTTGTTTCACCGTTTAGGGAACACAGTTCTCCTTTTGACCATTTCCCCCTCCAGACCCGTAACTGCCTGAAAACCCTTCTTAGCCCTCGGGTGGGTGGTACAGTAGGTGCGGCCAGGTGTGGACCTTGGCCTGTCTGCCAAGTTCCCTGAGTGAGTGCCTGCATTGCTCAATGCCCCTGTGTCCCCCCTGACTCCCTCCCCTGTCTCTCACAAGGCTGTGTCCCCCTGCCCCGATGTGAGCTCTGGGTGGGCAGAGGCTGGGTTTTAGTGCCCAGGCCTCCAAGGGCACAGCAGCTGTGGTGGGTGGTGGTCCCATGGGAGGACCAGGGCCGCCCTGCCCACAGCACCCCTCCCCCACCCGCTGCTCCCGTAGGAACCTGCGCAAGGGCCCCAGCGGCCTGGCGGAGGAGATCAGCTTCGAGGACTTCCTGACCATCATGTCCTACTTCCGGCCCATCGACATCTCCATGGACGAGGAGCAGGTGGAGCAGTGCCGGAAGGAGAAGCTGAGATGTGGGTGCCCCTGAGCCCCCCACCACAGGGGGCTGGGTCAGAGAGCAGTCACCTCCAAGTCCCAAGTGGGCCCCCCCCTCCTAAAGAGCCCCTCACCATCCTCTTAAGGCCTTTCTGGTTCCGAGTTAGGCTGCTAACGCCAAGGTCAGCAGTTAGAACCCTCCAGCCACTGCTCAGGAGAAAGATGAGGCTTTCTGCTCCTGTCAAGATGGACAGCCTCAAAACCCCGCAGTTCCCCTCTGTCTTCAGGGCCGCTGTGAGTTGGAATTGACCTGAGGGCAGTCAACTTGGCTTTCTGGTTTGGGAGGAGCCATGTGACAAGAACAGACCTCGGTTCAAATCTGGCTGTTCCCTTGGTGGCTGTATGTCAGAGCCCTGGTGCGAAGGCG